TAACGTGATTGTGAGAACGTGTCCTAACAAGCTAATGGAGGCGTTTCACAGTTGTTGTACAGTTTAGGTGCTGTGTGGGATCGGTATGTGGGAAAGGTGGGGGGCAGGGGTCTGCTTTGACACCCTAATCCTGCAGCCAAGCTTGGCTTTGTGGAGACCTTCGCTGGGAGGGGAGTGAACAAGGGATGGATGGAAATGGTGAACAGAGAGAGAGAGAGAGAGAGAGAGAGGGGTGGGGGTTGAATGTAGAGGGGGTGCTGCAAAGTGAGGGTTAAAGAGAGGGAGGAGAGGGAAAGGACGATAGGATGAGGGAGATGGGGTTCGTTCATTCTCCTTCTTTGACTTTGAAAGGAAACAAAGAGTGATTTATGACAGCCAAATTTGTTAGACTGCTCTTGCAGGTTAGCCTTAGCTGACCTGACGGCCTCTTCTTCTGAACCCTTTCTCCATCACTGCTCTGTTTGCAGAGGACTACTTAAATCCGCTCTGGCTTCTGTGAGTGACTCTACTTGTCTTTACTGTATTCTTCACAGTATTTATGTTCCTTGACAGATTAAACTGCTTTCCCTTTGGTGGGGTGCTTCTCTATACTCCTTTTCCTTTTTTCTATTCAGATGAGAATGTCCAGACATAACCAGATGAGGTCCAGTCAGAAAAATACTTTGCATCCTAAAATAAGATGATGTTGTTTCCTGATATTCCTGTGAATATGTGCTTAATAGTCCAAATATTTAAATGACAGTAACATGTAAAGCCTAAGCCAAATTTGCAGGAGGGCTAATGCTGACAGACAGCTGGTCACATCTGCTTTTCTGCTGCAATTAATGCACAAGCCCAGAGAGTAGTCCCCCCCCCGCCTAAATATTTAGTTGTGGTTTTCTGTGTCTGAAGGGCAGACAGTTTGATTGCTGGCTCAGCACCGGAGTTGGCACGTTTATGGGTCAGACTGGCACTGGATCTGACATTGTGGAAAGGGTGGAGCCATCTTTCTGGCTCGTGGTCACTCAAGAAGAGGGGGTTAGAGTCTGCTGCAGACAGGAATATTTTTTTCAGAGGTTTAAGGATTTCTGGAGCTGTTGTTTGCAGAAGAGACACCAATTTATTAACAAAATTAACACCACTTTTCTTTATGAAATTATTTATGTTTTGTAATGTAATGAAGAACCATTCATGATGATTTTGGTTTTATTTTTATTTTCCATGTTCTTTCTATGGTTCAGTTTCCATGAAGTGGGGTCAAGGGCAAAGATTACCTACATAGTTAAATACCCTAAAGCTAAATAATTGTAGCAGCACACATACTGAGAATTTGATGATACAGGAAAAAAAAGGCTAGAAAGCTAAAAATTTGCTACAGGTCTTTCTAAATAAAACAGGAAGCTGTACAAAATGCAAAGAAATATCCAAGAACATTGTAAACTCAACCAAATTAACAAAGAGAAAATAGCCACACCCACATTTAACCAAACGTGACATCAGTTTATGGCAATTTAAGAAGCTATTTTTTAAATGTATATCACTTACATTCTTCTCTAGCATCCTAGAGAAGTAACTCATGTGTTTATTGAAGCTAGCATTAATGGAAACTAAGTCCTTATGTTTATTTCTTGGAGACCGTAGGTGCTGCCGACATTTTAAGATCCATAATGTTCCATGTTAGACTGGAGTTGAAGGCTCAGAAGGATAACACTTATTTTTTATTCTCTCTTTAGCCTTCTTGTTATCTGCTAAAAGTCTTGCTCTCTTTTGCTGCCTGTTCCTTTTATCATAAAAAAACAGTCTTATAACATAAGAGTACATCTTCAGACCTCATTAGCCACACAGACAGAGAGTAAAAACAGCTAAGTTGGACTCTTATCTTTCTTTATTTAGTAGCAGTATCTGCTTCAGAGTAAAGTTGTTAGTAATACCTGATAATGCTTCCAGTAGGTGCATTTCTGATCATAGGTAGATTCATGACATTCAGTGTTTTTATTTCCAGATTACATTAATAATAAAACACTTGGAAATAGTAATAAAAATCCATTCAACTCCTTTTTAACATTTTGAATTCACTCAATATGAGAGTTTTGGTCTGGTATTACGACCTTGATCTGTTGCTGCCAATCAGATATGCACACAAAGCTTCACACACTTTTAAATGTACTTCCTCTTTTGTAATCGGTCATAACGGTGACAGGATGTAAACAGATTCAGAGCTTTAGATGCCTTGGCTGCAGAGCTGCTGCTTCTAGTTTCTGCCACTGATGATAGTAGGCTGTATTTGTGGTGCTAATGGAGGAAGGGGGGACAATGTGTACTCTGTTTTAGCTTAAAGTATGTTTTATAGTCTCTATATTTCAGTAATGCGTTTGTTCTGCCTTGTAGAGGACTCTGCGCTGTTTCAGCATCTATCCTATGTGTCTGATTGGAGATCCCACTTTAGTATTATTACATAATGGACGTCTCTGAAAGAGCAGCTCCTGTCAGTAAACCAGAAGACAGAGAGTCTCAACAGGGATCAGTCAGAGTCAATAACCCACAGCAAAAGACAAAGGTATCAAGTGCTCTAACAAGATTATCTTCATGCTCAGTAGATGATATTCAGACTGAATAATGCAGAGTTTATGGTTAAATAAAATAACTGGCTGGATTTTTGCTTTCACTCCAGATGAAGGGGATAGAAGTGAGTCTGCTTAGAAGACTGAAGGTGATTGAAAGAAAGAAAGAAAAAAAGTATCTGGAGGTCAGGGGATGATGTGTTTTGCTTTAAGCATTTCCAATATTTTTTACTGTAGGATTTATAGACTTTTCTGTACATGACTAAGGGCAAAGCTGCAAAGCTGTGCTCTATTTATCTTTCCATCTGTGTCCTCCCTACCACTTCCAGTACCCTCCCCACCCAACCCTGTAATTCCCCAATCAGCAGGGCACATATTGACCTTTGGGTCCTCCAGCTTCCCTCTTCTGGTGGTACTTAAACCTCAAAGAGAAAGAGGAAAAACGTTTAGTCAGTAAATAACGCATTGATGCACACCATTTATGGGCAAACTGTTTTACATGAATGTGCAGTTTTCCAATTGAAATGTTGGAACCCTTTACTCTAAGGTTTAGATAATGTCCATACTAAGATAGACATTTTGGAAAATGTGTCTTTACCAAATTGATGAAAACAAAGTTTTTAGTTTTGAAGTCCCAGATTTTTAAAATCCTATTGTTTAAAATATGATTAATGGTTTAACCTTATTGTCTACTCATAAGTTTCATCATTCCAGGCTTTATTCTGCAGTCTAGTGGCAGAGGATGAACCTCTCCTGCTCAGACTGCAGCTGAGAGTGACTAGTGGGTGAGGACTGGGAGAAAGAGTGAGAAAAATTGGCTCTTTCCCATTAGGACCAACTCAGCCTTTTGGTACAGCTCGACTCATTTTCTAGACTTTCGGTTACTTGCGACCAGCATTATTTCTGGTTCTAACTGTACTAATTTGTGTGAAAAACACAACATCAGAACACTACTTGTTACTAATATTATAATAAATACTAAAATAACTAATGTCTTCAACTGTTTGCGCAGATGTTCCCAGTCTCCCCTACTTAATTGTAACATTAAAACCCCCCATAGGAGAGTAGAGTTAACATGAACCCAAACAAGGCAAATAGAGTTTGTAACAGTGGAAAAGGACCTCAGGTTCTCTCGCACCAAAAATCTCCACAAGTCCTCACAGACAATAAACAACATTGCTCAGTTTTACAGCAGCTAAGGCTTTTATTATTATTATTATTATTATTATTATTATAGAGGTAAAAAAGAAGCCAAGATAAATCCTAAGTTGTCAAATTAGTAACACTGGATTGCCATGATACATCTGACAAACAGTATTTATTACAACCCTTTGTCTTGTGGAAACAGGGAAACAATAGCTGTTGGGAAGACAATAGTTAGGTGTGATTTTTATATAATGTTCAAGTCTATGATATTTTCAGACAAAGCTGCTTGTTGTCGGATCAAAAGCCTAGTTTTACTGAGACGTAACTCTGTGGATCGGTGTGTTCTCCATGGGGCCCGGCCTCACAGGCCGAAGGCCAGAATTTGGAGCTGTCGCAGAGAATAGTGGGCCTCTATTGTATGTTTGTCAAACTGGTTGGCTGCTGTGGGGTGTGCAAACAGACACGCTGGCACACACACAGACATCCACTGATCACACACGCGCACACAAACAGGGAATTTATCACCAGAACGAGTCAGTGTCAGGTCAGCCGGCTTAGTCTGCGGACAGCATTGTATTGTTGCTGGCCTCCATCGCTCTTGGGCATTTAACAGTGCAGGCATTCAGTTGTTACTGGTGACTCAGGACTAGTAGGCAGCACTGTAAACAACACCTGCCTTCACATTTTTATACGTTTGTGCCCAATCGGCTTAGAGGCCAGAGAACAAGAGTAACGGCCCCATTTGTTATAAGTAGGATTGTAGATTCGTTTAGAGTGCCTTGCAAAGGATTTAATGTTGCTAGAACTGCTTCACAATTTGTTGTATCACAACTGAAACCTTTTTGCTCCCCTCAATTAAATTGAATGTGATAGACCAACACTAAGTAGTGCATGTTATGATAAAGAAAGTCTACATAAGAACTGGATAAGGACAAAAATTGTAAGCTATAAAAGACTTGGTGGGAGTTCAAAGTAGCACATTCAGCCATTCTTTGAAAGGTTTCAAATCAAAGGATATTTTATGTGTCCGAATGGCCTAGACCTAAATCAAGTTAAATATGTGGTAAAACTTTTAGTCTTGATTATTATCTGTTTTGTGATAAATTATAGAGAAATAATTATTGGTGATTAACCAGAACCTGGATCTGGTGCCCTGTGGTGCCAGTCTAACCAGCTTGAAGCATGATCCTGAGGCCGTTATGCACATTAAAACACTCAGAGCACCAAGCCACAGCCAAGCTAATGACTCATCTCTCTCTGCCCCCCTCCCTGTCTCTATCTTTTCTCTCTCTCTGTCTGTTGCTGTGCGTACAGGAGACATCACTCAGAAGGGCTATGAGAAAAAAAGAAGCAAGCTGCTGGCGCCTTACATCCCACAGATACAAGGTAAGCCTTACCATCCTGCTGGATAGATGCTGTCTAGAGAAGGCGGGACTTAATTCTGACTGAATGTATGATAACAAGTGGGATACAGAGACCAATTGAAATCGGAATAAACAAACTTTTTCCATATATTTAACTTTTTTAAACATTTTAGAAATAGTACAAATAATTAAACCCAAGACAACTGTTAAAATATACTAAACTGACTCAAATTTCATATATCAATAGATGCTAATGAAGTGGTTGAATTATTTTTTTTATGATTTACACATTTATGCTTTGCCAATGTGTGCCTGCAAGCCTGACACTGAACTTCAGGTTGAACAGTCTTAAATATCTAAATTTTTTCCCCTTCATTACTGGGATTGCATTGTTTCACATTAAGTATAAACTTTGAAAAAAGAAGGCTGTGCAATTTATTAAGATTTTAATTGCTGATTTGGTGATTGGGGCATCAATAATATCAAGGACTGCTTTGATTACACCGTTGGTGATAAGTTAAAGTTGACCACATTGGCATGGAATACATTTTAAGGCAGTGATTCTAGTAGGTTGGAAAAGCCACAAACTTCCTTTTGCCATCAGAGAGCTTTATACTTGAAATTCGATGATTTTTCAATTGTTAGAACTCATGTGAACTAGTTGGCTTTTAAGCATAGTCAACTGACTTTCAATGATATTGAGGTAAGGACCATTCCAGCAGCTCAACAATGGCCTGCTTTATCCATCCAGTAAACCAGTAAAGCAATGATTTCATTGTTGGAACACAAATCTACTTTAATCCAGTGTTTCTGCATCTTGATGATCTAAAGTGAAGTTAAGAAATTTAAATGTATGTTATTTTTTTATTATATCTACTTCTTGCAGTGAACCACTATAGCTGACATCAAATCAGAGTATTAGTGTGATGCTAGCACTACTACCTTTGTCAGTCGTTAGTTTTCTTATGTCTTAAAAGCTCACCTTGACCCCTCTAAAGATATGTTTTGTTGGTGAGTTTTCTCTCTGTCTTCACTGAGCATAAAACCATTTTTTAGAACACAATTAGATGTACATTTTATTGGATTTGCTGGTTTTGATTCTTTGGGCAGTGGTTCGTTGTTTACAAAAGCTTCTAGTGGGCACAAGTGGTTCCTCTGGGAAGAGACTTTGCAGCAGGTTCTGCAACAGCTTTTCCCCGTTGTCATCAGACTGTTGAAATTTTGAACTCTAAACTGGACTCTACATTATTTTGTACTACCAACGTGCTGAATGTCTACTGCATTTTGCAACATATTTAAGCCTTAAAAACGGTAATTTTCATTTTTCTGTTTCACTCTTTTAAGCTGCTCATTTCGCTGTTGCAAGCTTTGGGCAATGAAATTTTGTTTTGTAAATCTCTGCATATAAAATGACAATAAAGTTTGTCTAAGTCTTCCTTTTATTTCACAGTGATCTAAACATCACATCAGAATTTATTTTAAATAGACAAATTAGGGTTCTAATATTGCCTCCACAATGCATTAATTTATATTGAAAATTGTTTCTTAAAAAATCAAGTGTGTAGCAGGAAGCTACCCAGTTTATTTAAATGTAAATATTTTTACTCTAGATGTTTAAATTATAACTGTTAGCTTATAACTGATAGCTAACAAAAGATTGAACTTTAATCTGCAGCTCACTAAAGAAAAATTAACCATTATCACGAGGAGATTATGCCTATAATTGAACAGTATATGTAGAATTCGGACCTTGTATAGATAACATAATTTATGCGTTTGTTTACATTTTTACTCTGAAAGTTAAAATATTCGAATAGATCATTCAAAAACCAGAGCTAGGAGTTTATTTTTTTTGTTTGTATTTCATTATATCAGTGCTTCAGTACACACTACTGCTACGCTTATACAGTACATATTTGGCATGTTTGATGAACATGTATTGTTTTAGATGAACACACCTTAGATTAGATGGTTAAGGAGGTTATGGAGACCTTCTAGGCTTATAGGCTTAAAAAGAGGACATCATACCTGAACTTAGTGTTAGGTAGAGAATATTTTTCTATCATTTGCTGATTTCATATTTTGATGTGCTTAAGAGGAGGTCACTATCAAAGTTAACATTTATTAAAAGAAATATCATCATTCAAATATCAAATATCATCATTCTGTAAATGATGATTTCCAGCAGAATGCTTAGAGAAGTTAAATGGATCTTACATTGAATATCTGATTAAAGCCACAGTCAGTATGATAAATATGCACATTTGCATGTCAGTGAAGGGTATTTTCATCCTCACAGCTGGAAGCTGTGGGTCCTTGTAGATTCTGCCAGTGTCTGAAGTGAATCCCAGAGAAATTGCTGCTGCTTTATCCACTATCTGCTCCCTGTAGTTAACAGTTTGGCCAGCTCCCACAGGTGTTAGTGGAAGCCAGTTTACTGTGGGCTTCTCCTCTGGAATTAGCAGAACGGTTATTTAGCTTGGAGCGACCATTTCCCTCATTCTGCCAATCCATTACTTATTTTTGTTCTTCTCTGGTTCTTCGTTTAAATCCCTCAGTTGGTATCAGATACCCTAAAACATCCATTACATTTGTGATTTCATTAAAAAAACTCATTCAGCACAAATATTCCAGTCAAACTGTGAGTGCGGTGTTGCTTACAAAAGTAATTTGTATTGACTAATTATATTGGCAGCTAAATGCTGCCAATATAATTAGTCAATAGATCTGAAAACCACATAAAACTTTGATAATCACTTTAATAATCACAAAAAACCATTTTCAAAAATCTGGAAATCATGGAATAAGGTGAGCCTGCAATGTTGGCATCTGCCTATAAACATTACTTCAAGAACCCAACAGTGTCCAGGCCCTGCCTGTTGTCCAATGACTGCCTGCCACAACTCAAAGCATAAAAAAATATGCATTTTTAAACAATAGATGGAATGACCATTTAAAATTTGCTTTTTGCTTTAATGATCTGAATTTGAATGCATAGTTAAGTGGTTAAACAGAGTGGTTATAAGGAAAATAATTTAGCTTTAGATGAAGAGATGCTGCTTTCTAAACTTTGCATATTTTTATAGATTATTCTTTATGTTATACCAGATGGGGTTTTGAATGAGTAAGACTTTTAGAATACAGGGTGTAGCTTTTGTTTGGACGACATTTTCAGCTGACCTCATTAACACACCGCAGGACCTTCCTGTTCTTCCCCATGCAGCTGGGGCAGTTAGTCAGGATGCTCTCTTGTTGCTCACAAATAAAAGCTCAGCAGCAGGTGATGCAGGTAGTGTGCTGTGCATACATTCTCTTCCGGGGGAAGTTGAGCATCTGTTGCTCCTGTCCCAGCAACAAGAGACATAAACACAGATTTGTGGACTATATCTGTAGAGAGGTAATAATTTATTGAATAAATGAAATATATGTCAGGCTGAATCTCTGGCTTTTATGTTGAGTCATTTTTTCATATTTTGTAAGGACTCAATTAGAAATTTTTCAAGGATGTTTCTAGTGTATAGAAGGAGAGCTGTTTTCACTATTGTTTGATAGAAAAGACCACATAGATCTACTTTTTTCAGAGCATTTGAAAAAGAAGCTGTAGCATCATACACCAGGCAGTCTTTAAAATGTACTGTAACTACAGGGGGAGGGTTTGCATCTCGCCATATTGGTTAAATAAAGCCTATAAATGAAGGACAGTCTTCCCAAAGAAAAGATGGAGGAGGTTCATCATGCTGTGAGACTGTACTGCTATTGCACATAATTAACAGTTGGAAAGAAACTTTAAAAGGAGACATTTGGCACTCTGGTCAGTCACAAAGAAAGGAGAACATAAAATCTTTTTTCTTTTCTGTAACAAATGTGGAGACTAATTTATGTTTGTCTTAGAGGACGTTTTTAATTCTGCTCCTGCTGCTCATAGAAGTCAATAACTGAAGAAACTACTATGAATAAAGCTTCATTATCTATTTGTTTATAGAGAAATAAACCTTGATGGCATATTTTCCCCTAATGACTGGATAAATCTCAAGCATGTCATTTTACCGATAGCTACCAATCCTAGTGTTAGGATAGGATATCATCAATATATTTAATGAATACAGCTATTTGCTCAGTTTATGTCATAAATCAGTCATATTTGTTATGTAGGAAAAGATACACAGCCATGCATCACCCTGACGCACACAGCAACCAAGTGCTGGCTTTAGACAGGTGATATAAATTCATCAGGGTGCGCTTCGAACCAATAAAGAGAACTGTTGTGACCGGGCAAGTCTGTGATTGGCTGAATGTTGTGTATCTGGGTGGCGTGTTCTGCCCAGCAACCGGGTCTGCTGTCCTGCCTCGCTTTAAAGACCTGTTTTCCTCCGGGAGCTCCTGGGAGAATGACGTGTCACCGGATTGTCAGAGGGACGAAGGAAACTGGCTGATATGAATGTGTGAAGGCATGCACTGCATGGCAAACACAAAAATATTCATCCATAAATATTTCATTTTCTTTTATTCAGTTTAGTATCTGACATGATTAATGCTTGTTTGCAGAAATCAGAGATTTGGTAGCTTGAATTGAATTATGCAAATGTTGCTGGAAACAGTTGTTTTTCTGCTGCTGCACTTTTCAGGAGTTGCTGACTGTGTAGGACTCATTGATCCTCGCTAAGCTACCCCTGAAAACCCTGACTGTTAGATTGCTGGGCTGGAATGATGGGTGACTGATAGGCCAGCCAGGTAGATACAACAGCAAGCTGCCCAATGCTAATGGGGCTTAGTTTGTACACTTAAAGGAAGAGCAACTTTTCGCTGTAAATGTGTTACAAAAATGAATCCGACAATAAAGAAAGAGGTGGTAAAGCTGTGAGGAAGTTAAAAGGAGTGTTAGGTTATAGAAGCAACATCCCAGGATGTGAGGATCTGACAGAGAACAGTTTGATCCATGATCTGAAAATGGAAAGAGTATGGAACAACTGAAAACCTACCAAGAAATGTCAGAGAGAAGCATCCTGTGCAAGACGCTAATTAGTAAATCATTTATGACCCCAACTTTTTGACACTAATGATGTCTAATCATTTCTCTTCACTTACATCTGTGAAATTTGCATTTGCTTCATTGGAAGACAGAAGCAGCTGTAAAGCTGTAAAAAATACTGGTTAAATTAAAGTCAACGCGCTCTCATTTCTTAGTTGCTAAAGTATTAGAGGATTACAATAATCTTGTGAACACTAGATCTGTTTGAGAAATATTTAGCATGTTTGATTCCATCCAAGGCACCTTTTGTAAAGAGTGTAGTGCTTTAACTAATACAGCTAAACCTTACAACATCGGGATGCTTTATTTCTTGCTGTAAACATTCCTTCTGTTTCTCTGCAGGTGTAGATCCATCTTTGCAAATTGACAACAGAATCCAGGCCTCTTCCCAAGCTGTTCTTCCAGTTTCCAAACATAACAAGTCCCGAGCCGGCAATGCCCGAGATGAGCGCTTCAGATCTGGTAAGAAATGGCTCCTTCTCCCAGAGAATTGAAAATATTAATCCTTCTACTACAAACACCCGAAATAAGCTTGTTATTCTTTAGATCTGCACACAGAGGCTGTCCAAGCTGCATTGGCAAAGTACAAAGAGAGGAAGATGCCCATGCCCTCAAAGAGACGATCTGTGTTAGTTCAGTCTTCAGTCGAGGCGTGTACCCCTCCAGGTGAGACCCCTCCTCCTTTCAACATTCTCTCTGCAGTCGTTTGATTCATTGCTTCCCATGAACACAGGCATGTGGGATGGTGCCTCTGATATCCTCAGCGATTATTAAAGATATTTCCAAGCATTTGCCTCTGGGAAGAAAGTGTGTAGTTTGATGAATATGTTCATTCTTTGCGACTATAGAAGCTTCAGTTCTTGACGTCATGTTCCCAGGCAGACCTACCCACATGGGCTGCATCATGGAGGCGTTATCAGATTTAGTACTTCGGCTCCAAATGTCAAGCTTTTGCTCGCTTTTTCAACTGTTTATATTGTGTGCCTCAGTCCATTGGCGTTTTATAAAAGAGTAAAAATTTAATGGAGTTTCAGACACTTTATTTAGTATTAAAGTTTTGTGTTTTCAAGGCCTCACTTTCCTTTCTTATTTCTTCAAATTTTTCGGTAAAAATAATGTTGTTTGATTTCTTAATAAACTCTCAATTACTGCTGCGCTGGTGGTTTTGGTGTATGGGTGGAGGGAGTGAAGAAAAGCGTGAGTCTCAAGGTTTGGATTAAAAGAAAGGACAAGGCAGGGCAAGTAACCAGATTAAGAGCTTCAATGCTGAGGTTTCAGTGGGAGAGCGAGTCAATGTCTTCATACTTTAACCCTGGGGGTTTCTATTGTACCCTTTAGCGGCATTGATTCTGAAGCCTTCAAGTTTAAACCTTGAATAACAGGTTGCATAATTTCTTCCACCCTGCTGAGTTTTCATAGCATTTTAATTTTTATAGTTTTTTTCCCTACTATGTCCAGATCCTAAACAGGAATTCTGAAGCTTGTTCTGTTTAGATTAATGATGCACCAGTCTACATTTTGTGGCTGAATATGCTTACGTGAAACAAAGTGAGAAAAAAGTCAACCGAACGTTAAGTCCTACCTTTGGAATAATTGCCATATGCTATAGCTTATTCCTCCATCATAATAATGTGAAAAATGCCATATACGTCATTCAAACACCACCAACAGTTGTGGTAGTACACGGTAAGCAGTCTTTTCTCAGAATATTGTGAGGTAGTCTATGCCGCTGTTGTAGTTACTGCTATTGCTCATGTTTTTCTATTTATCTCCTCTGGTTGATTTGAATAAAGCCAATGAAACTCCTGCAAATATGTAACAAATTGAAATACATAGAGCCTCGCTGCCATTGGGCTGTATGCAAGTTTGTCCTTAAATTCAGTAGCCGTAGCAAAGTGTGCTTCCTTAGCATCTCCTGCTGAAAATGTGCTCCCATAACGGTCAATAAATAAATAGTTTATTTAAAAAAACAAAACTGTTGCCTGCATTTAACTGTGCATAGATCCATTTTCTATGAACAAAAAGCTTCAAGGAGCAAAACGTGGCAGCCTTGCTGTAATCTGTTCAGCCTTCCTGTTATTTGCTGTTTCATACTCTCTCCATCTCTCTCTTCTCTGGAAAACCTCTGAACAAAATCACTATATGAAACTTTTCTCTTTAGCATCTTACTGAAATCGCACAGCTGTTGCATCTGTGTGCATCTGTTCATTAACATAGCATTCCTAAATGACTTTTTAAAGAAAGTTAGACAATTCTGTTTTTTTCATTGAATTTACCTTCAGGGAGATTTTACTTCTTATTTATTTATAAAATTAGATAAGAAAATAAATACAGATATTTAGTCATTTTGATCATTAAAGGGAAAATTGGAATGGATGGGATAATTTTCATAGATGTTTTCAGAGTAACTCTCACTTTCTTCAGCTACCCCTATGTAGAAGTAGTTTTATGATTGCCTTTCCATGTTTACTATTAGATAGAAGCTTTATTATTCTGCTGCTGTTTTCAAAGAACAACTGTTCCAGTGCAGCGATAACTAAGGTCTTAGTTACAGTCTGCTTTTACATCCTACTTATCTGATGTATTTTTATGTATCTCAACAACCGTGTCTACCTGACCCAGACGTAAAGTTTTCTTCCTTTATACAATCTTGTCTCCTGGTGATTTATACTCATTCTTTGTTCTTTCTCTGTTTCTGCTTAAAATATATTCCCTGATCCTCTCCTTCCCTCGCCCGTTTTCTAAATGTGTTAAAGCTGCTGAAGTCTGAGAGAGAGCAGAGATGGTCAGAGGGATAACAAACAGAATCCTAAATGTGAGATAACCCACTTGAGCCCCACTGTTGTGCAGAAATAAAATTGGTTCGTTCCAACTCCACCACCTTCGTCTCTCTTCTGACAGCCTCTGTAAACTAAATATTAGCTAAATGCAAGTTGCAGCAGTTCTTAATTGTGTCTCAGCTGGTGAACCTTTATTTGTTAATTTGTTCCGTGGGTGATTAGAAAGGATAATCATATGAAAATGTTTTAGTAGCTTCAATATCCATCAGGCTTGTGCTGATCACGCATCGGGTCGAAAATCTGCTAAATCCCTCTGTTCTCATAATGTTTATCTCCTTCTTTCTGTCAGCAGTTTCTGTAACTTATTAAAGCTGTTATGAACAACAGGCTGAAAACCTTTTATCTAACATTTAAAGATGTTTTAAATTTAGTCATTTCATAATGATTAAAATGAAACAATAATTTAGTTTATATCATTTTTTCTAATACTTAGCCCTCTAGCTGAAGTTGGTTTTCTGCATAACATCCATCAAAGGCAGCCCTTCTGTTTTTCAATCAAAATAAACTTGTTCAAAGTGCAGGCATGTATGGAAGATGAAAATGAATGCATTTATTTTGAATTATGCTGATGTTACTTTGAAGGTTTTCCTGTTTGGTTTATTTTTGATGAGACCAACTGTTCACTCTAGCCTCAAAAACAGAGACTTTGACTTTAACTGAACATTAGTAGATTTTTAAAATAACCTTACATTCTCTTTAGTACGTTGTTCATTTTATGACAGGATGTGTGATGTACTACCAGGTGATGAGCTTAAACTCATTCTACTGAGGCAAAGTGTCATTTAGAACATATCTTTCATTTTTATTTCCAGCTATATAATCTTTTATTACAGCTAAAAGGCTTTTATTAAGTTTACCTACTGGTGTTAATGTAATGTATGTTTGTTTTAGAGGGGCCAATTGCCAATTTTCACATTTGTGAATTTTTACCTTAACTATACTGATTTTAGCCTTTTCTAATTTCTTTGTACCAAATTGCACTACTTCCTGAACTTAAGGTAACTCTTTTGTTTCCTGCCTTTTTTCTACTGGATGGACCGATTAATCCAGGAGTGCCTGACCTGATTAACTATGAACACAACTGGCTTAATCAGCTCATCCAATAATGAAAGACAGGAAACAAAGGAGTAGCCTTAAATTCAGGAAGTAATGGAGTTCTGCATAGAGCCCATTGTAGTAGTCTACAATTAGGTCAGCATTATGAAAATGTCTTTGCTGCATTGCTGCAGTGGTCATTCATTTTTCGTTAACATGACGAAAGACAAAAATCTATCCCTGTAAATAGATTAAAGTGGAGAGAGCAGGTCTTTTCGAAACTTCACAAAAATCCTCCATTATAGCTTTAATAGAAAAAAACTGTTTCCTCTTTAATAGCCTTTTTTCATCAATTTTCTTTCATTTAAACACCCTTTTGATACTGAACCTATGTTGCCTTTGCTTCCTGTTGAGTCTGTGGACAGTATTGTTTTCTTGCCTTCTCTTCTGACTCTACCCTTTTTTGACCACTTCAACACAGACACCTCCTCAGCATCAGAAGATGAGGGCTCACTGCGAAGGCAGGGACGCCTAGGCACGTCCACGCCCTATCAGGGCCACAGCCACCCAGCCGTCGAACACTGGTTCAACCGTGTCATCCAAGGGTCGTCCACCTCCTCCTCTGCTTCATCCACCTCATCCCACCCAGGAGGCAGATCTGTCACTAACAGCACCGCCCACGCTGCCCTCAACGCCAACGCCGCAGCAACAGCCCTTGCGGACCTCATGGCACACACCCAACTTGGTCAGTCTTACTATAACTACGTTTGTTTTTTTATTGATTTCTGCTGATCCAGTGATTCAGTCTTGCAGTGCCTTGCAAATGCTTAGACATTTACATGTTTAAGCTCATGCGGTGAGCTTGAAATTTAATGTGTTTTATTGGGATTTTTGTGGGACAAACTAAGACAAAGCAATGAGTTTTCACATTTACATGAATAGAAATCTTAGTATTCTATGCATGTATTCTTCTCTCCTGAGTTGAGCCAGTTATGAGGGTACCTCTATATATCTATAGACTGAAATTTTTGGAAAAACAATTGGGATCAAAGTCAAATCAGCTGTAAAAAAAGTGTCTAAGAATATCAAATTCTAAATCTTACAACTGAAAATCCATTGGATTTAGGCCTGGACTTTTACTAGGCCATTCAAGCATTACATATCTGCTTTAATCAAAGCGATCTATAGTTGGTCTGAGTATATTTTCATGGTTGTGTTCCTGTTGGAGGATCAAGCTTCACCACAGTCTTATATCTTTTTCAGTCTCTAACATTGTTGCCATAATTACTCTTACTTGGCTCCATTCAGATTCCTGTGAACTCCATGGGGTTGGTGAACAAAATACCTTTACAGTACTGTCACCGCTGTCTTCTTGTGTACTCAAGCTATTTTTAGCAGGGATTTTCCTCTTTAAAGAATTCATTTGAAGGGCCAATTCTATTTCCAAGATTCCTAATAAAACAAAATAAGGTTTTGTTGGTGTAGCCTGGCTGACAGTGGATGTTTTAAAAATCATATCAAAGTAGAAGTCTTTACCCATTTTATTTTTTCTTGAACACTTAAGGGGTGCCATGGGGAAAAAGTATTCAGCTATTCAGCCTAGTTAAATAAACGGAGATACATTTTTCTATCAGCTACACAAAACACCTTGGTTTAATGTGTTACAATCTTGCATGTGACAGTTTTAAATCACATGTCGCTTATTAGCTGCCACTGTCGGCCATCTTGCTGTTGTTTAGTCATGTGATGAAACTCTCTGCCTGATCTCAGCCTAATCAGCTTGTTCTGGTGGCCATAACACAGTTCAAACCTATTAAATGTGATTCATTTTATTTTGCTACTATTGGTGTCTCTTCGCTATCCAACCTCTGACCTTGTTGGTGTGTTTGGGTGTGTGAGCCTTTGTTCAACCACATTCTATCAGGATAGAACTGTCTCCTCCATTCCTCAGAGTGGCTTTTGCCATATTGAAGCCCCAGTGAGTGATGCTATATGAAGCTGTCAATACTTTCCTAGTGGTACCCTGCTCCATAGACCCTTTCAAATGCTGCTGGTTTACATTATAGGCAACAAATGAAGGTTATCTATATAGTAATTAACAAGATATGTAGGTTCAAGGGTAGATGTAAGAAATATTAATATTTGCAGCTGTTCTCAGGACAGATATATTTCAGCATCAGTTTTATTTTTATTTTTGTTTCATCACACCAAAACATCTTATTTCAACATTAATTTAAGTACATTTTAAAGGCATTTTCCCTTTTCCTTACAAAATCTGAAGATATGTTTTTTGTGCAGTGGTGGGCCACACATGCATTTAACAGCCGGGGTTTTTATTTCTGCAGACCCCTTGCAGAGAGAGAAATATGTAGGAGAGACAAAACAGGACTAGAATACCAGAGTTTAGAAACTGCTTTATTTTAACAAGAGTATAAAACCAGAGGCATGACAGTTATTCTAATTGTACTATATAGGGCAGCAGATAAAAGCTTGATGCTGTGACTTTTGCCAGCATGCACTGTTGCTCATATACAGAAAATTCTTCTGAAGATTTGCCGCTGTGTTTGCACGTTGCCTCGTCCCCTGATCTTCCACACATTTTTCTATGAGGTTGGGTGGAACATACCAACATCAGGGCTGGAGCATATCCTGCTCCCACGTGTATTCCCACATGCCACCCCTGTGGATCATCCCCAACATGCTGCAAAAGTGCAGAGCATGTGTGGAAAAATGCTTTAAAGATGTAGCACTAAGATAGTGGTGTGGAACCAACCGTTTAGTCTCTATTAAATTTTAAAAGTTCCTAAAAATCAGTGGTAGCTTTGTTCTATAGACCCCAACCATTAAGAATTTAACACTGGGTTAAACTACCATAGTAAAATAATCATGCCGTTAACCAAATTGCACAACTTTCATAATTGAATAATTCAAAAACTGAATCTGCAATCATGTCTATAGCATTTATGTAAAAAGTGATAAAATTGTTAAACTAAATAAATGATTCTGTAGTTAAAGACTGGTCTCTTTGAATGGTATTTAGGCCTCTGTATTGATGATGATCTGGTGTGAGGCACCTTCAGAGAACACCAGTGGACAAGGCCTGTTATAGTAAAGAGGGACACTCATTAGATTAGCTCCTCATTTCCATTCCAAGGATTTAAAGAAATATTCTGGTATTTTGTACATGTTATATATTAAGCAATAACATTTAAACAGAATCAAATTTTTGGCCATTTATCTGTTATCTTTAGATGCATCACTGCTTCAACACCTTAGACTCAAATTGTGGCTCAATAGCAGAAATCTCTAGAGCGTAACTGCTTGCTATTGAAAGAGCTTTAGTCAGATTGCCGTTCAAGTGTGCAGGAAAGGGACACATCTAAAAGTTTGCCTAAACCCCTTTAGGATCTGGGTTATAACTGCTGTCGAAGGTAACGCTTCTCTACTTTAAATATACCTACTTTGACAAGGATTGACATAAAGACACATAGCTCTAAACCTCCCATTTTGCTTTAAGTCATAGTTACAGAGTTCGTAAACTTCATCAGTGCAGGTAGAGAGTCTGCATAATATAACAGAAAAATACCACATAAGCCTGTGAAACACAGTATGGCAGGATTGTCAAACTTTTTAAGTTTTATAATATGATTAAAACAACAGGCTGTCCATCTGTTGGAAGCTAAAATAAAGTAGGAGATTAAGGTTTTGTTGCCTTTAGTTGACACATATTAAAACATACGAGTATGTTAAGAAATGGAGGTCCACAGTTTAGCTAATGTTACACTACTGCATATAAGCAAGCTGAGTGTAAATGAGTGAGTGTTCTATTTTTGTTCTGTTCAGCCTAAACGTTTAATTAAACAAACTTTAATCCAAACTGTTATTCCATCCTGATCTTCTCTGAAGTTGCAGCTTAAATTAATTATCATTACAGCTTCTAGGCTCTGTCCAAGCCCAATAAGATGTAGAGTAGAGTGTTTTATAACGACAGCCTACAGTAAGGCTCGACCTTTTAACCCCAGACACCCCGCTCATCACAGATAACCACTCAGCACCCCCCGACGTGACGGGGCTGTCCGAGCGCTCCTCCATTCACCTGGAGCGGCCCCTGGTGGGCTCCATGCGAGGCCTTTCCCGCAGCTACAATCACCACGCCAGCATGATGGAGACCGCAGATGGTGAGTTTCCTTCTCCTCAGCCACACACACACAGACACACCCCTACACACACGCACAAATCACTTCCTCCCCTGCTGTCTGTCCCTCTGTCCAGTCCTCAATCCGTCTGCCTTTCTGACAGCCACAACTGACCCCACTAACTGACCCTCTAACTTTACCATGGTAACAGCCTTTCCACCCTTTCTGAAAAAAGCCACAGTGATTTTTATCTGCAAATAATATAGTTACTAATGACTCGGCAGAGATAATCATGACTATTAGAGGAAGGAAATCACTTCTTTTTAGACGGACAATTAAGCGATTTTGTGCAGTCTGTGTCATTTGGTAATGAGTCAGTGCTTTAAATAGAAAATAATAAGGTGATACAAGGGTCATCAATTATTCACATTAGGCTTATATGCACTGAATACTGTTGATGTTAATCTTTGGAAGTGCTGAATAAATATAAATTACCTTGCAAAGGCAGTCATATCCAATTTTTCCACTTTTTGTCACTTTACAACAGTAGGGGTTGGGAGGATGAGGGCATATGTGAGAGACCAACACAAAATATTGAAAAATTGTGAAATGAAAGGCGAATTATGAATAATTTTCTGATCAGTGTAGAATTTAAAACATGAAGCTTTCATGAGTCAACTTTTTGTACATCTCCATCAGCTTTTTCAATCCAGAGACTAAACTTTTGTTATTTATTCGTCTTTGCAAAATGGCTGAAGCCCAGAGTCTATGGAGAACACAGAAGAACATTAAATGACCATAAAATAGTGTGAACCTTGACTGGACTTTCTAACACATGAACATGCTAAGGGCTGGTTATACTCCTGCAGATTCCGCTGAATTTCCAGCTGTATATTATAGGTTATTGTCCTGCTAGAAGGTCAACATTGACTCTGGTTTAAGGCCACTGACAGCCTCCCACAAATTCTTCCTGCATTGCCCTTGTTTATCTGGCCAGCTTGCAGACAAAAAGCATGCCCTCAGCATGATGCTGCAGTTTCCACTATGTTTCACACTGGGTAAGGTTAGTTTTAATTAGTTTGTATTAGTTTTATAACCAAACACACTTTTTCTTTATGTTGGCCAATAGGGTCACATTTTTGTCTCATCCGTTCAGGGTGAGTTCTTCTACATGTTCTTCTACACTGCAAAAACTTTAAGTCTAAGTTATTAGTCATTTTTTCCTTGAATTGAACAGGGAAGTGAGACACTTTGCCAATGGAATAAGATAATTTAAGTTTACAATAAGAACAAGCTACTGCAGTCACTTATTTCAAGTGCATAATATCTAATTATCTTGTTTTAAGGGTAAAAATACTAATTCCATTGGCATATCATCTTACTGAATTTACCTACTGGAATTAAGGATAAATACACTAATTTAAGACATTTAATTTTGCAGTTAACTCGGATTCAAAATATTTCCCTTCTCATAGACAATCTTACCTGATTTGTGGATTTATGTTTTATCTCCAGAGTTACTAAGAACCTACAGTAGTTATTTATGAGGTGACCTTAACAGGTTTTACTAGATTTTCTTCAGGGTTTTTAGAGTAAAGGGGGCTGAACACAAATTGAAGACACAATTTTCAGATTATTACTCTTTTTCTTCAAAGTCACAATTATTGGCTAGTCTATGTCTGTCGAAAATGTTCTTATTTAATTATAACGTATTCATTTACAGTGAGAAAAAATCCTAATCATGTTCCAAGGGTCATGAACTCTTCTGTTTAGACCCTTAGATGTGATTTCAAGCACAATTATAAGATGGATGTAACATGTACTCGTCTTAAAAAAAAGCAAGGAAATTATTAGGAAAAAATTTTTTCCTTTAGAAAATGCCCACCCTGTCAAATATTAAAAGCCGCTCCATCCTCCTTTGACATTCTCTTATTTTCTGTTAATCATTCATCAGAATTTTAATGATGTGGCAACATAAAAGCTGCAGCACAGATTTGGCACAGCCTGATTCTCAATATCTGCAAGCAAATACTAAACAGTCCACCTTCCGGATGCTTAACAGAAGGAGACTGTTGAATCAGTGGGTTTCTAAGATGTTTTCGGTACCATGGTTTCTTCTTATTTTGTTGTTTGGTGACTCAGTCTGACCTCTGCGAGGCAGCTGGTAGATTTTTCACACATTCAAACGCATAAGTTAGGTGGTGTGGTTTTATTGACGCACTGATATGTCTCTCCTCCAGGCTGTGAGTGGGGTGGTGAAGGATCCCTGACTTTAATTGATGGTATTTATAATTGTTCCTCCAGTTCTGCTGCAGTCTGGTGTATGTGCACTAATATGCGTGTGCATTAGTGTCTTTATATGTATGTTTCCAGTTGTGCTTTCGTCTGTTTTCAGGTTGCTGCTTTGTTTTGTAACAGTATTTGAAAGCCTATGGTTATGTCAGATATATGCTGTGTTTGCTTAAATGTGTTTTTTAGCCTCGTCTAACCCAGCTTTGCACAGAGTTGAAGACAACGTATACAGATGTTAATACTCAGATGGCTTTGTGTGTATTTATTATGTTGACAACATACTTCTAATCTCAAAGAGACAAAACTCTGTCAGCTGTCATTTTATGTTTTTCACTGCTCTGTGTGACATCAGCCGGTTATCCTGTAGCTACATAGACGACTAAAGGAAGGCGGCTGTCAATCACCGTTTCCATTTTTAAAGCTGACTCATTCAGCAGCCACGCAGTCAAGTTGTTCTCCAACTCCGGCTTGAGTTTTGTAAAAAGCTCAAAATCAAGTTGATGTTTTATTGCAGAAGGATCTTCTAAGCTAGGGACAAACTTTTCAAAATTAAGTCATACATAAAATAGAATATTAATATTATTCATTTGCTAATTTGCAGTGAACAGCATAGTGATGGGACAGGGTAGAATCTGCACAGCCCACCACCAGAAAGCAAAAACAAAGAGTAGCATCCCTGGTCTACAGAGCCTTTACAAGCTATCTGCATCTCAGATGCTTGTTTGGGAATGAAGCCAAAAAGAAGCCATTTCTATTGTAGCATCACAAACGTAAATATGTGGAATTTCCTCAGTTGTACTGGGAGGTTAACTGGCATATGTTTATTATCTTGTATTTAATTTAGCCTCTAATGCTCAATGTGTAGATCAGAGCTTTGACTACCAGGAAGATCCTGCTCACCATCAGCAGTAAAAACATGAGATAGGTTGCCCTGAAACAACAAATCAGGGCTTTGTTGGAAAAAGGATTCTCTTTGGTTAGGTTTAGTGGAAGATTTATAGTTCTGTGGGTCGATTTCTCTTCTGGAGAAACTGTTATAAAGCATGGCATTTTAGAGTCTTGAAATAACAAGGCTGCTTAGGCAGAATACTATTAGAAATAATACAAATACAAAAAAAAAAAGAACTCTATTTATGTCAAGCTTAGACATAAATAGACAGATAAGCTAGACAATCCAGGTTTAGCTGAAATGAAGAGGGCAGAAGAGAAGATTGTTTTGCATGGATTGTTTAGATGAAATGGTTAAATAAGGTGTTGCTAGCAGGCTGGCAGCTTTGGAAACTAGATAACTGGAATATGTGATTCATCTAATTAAAGATTTTGATCTGATTTCCAGCAGAAAAAAAAAACTCTATACAGTTATTTTAATAGTGTAAACCATTAACCATGATCATCATTTCAAACTTAGATCAGTGTGTTGTTAGTACAGCCCAGGGCACTTTAGTTATTCTAATATAACAAAATCTAACCTAATATTACACTCCTTGGCTGAAAATAGTACCTATACCTGCAAAAAACACATCACTCTCTCTTTAAAAATACTGTGAGGATTAGAAAACTTAACTACAGCATAAAATATAGAGAAAATGAAAGTTGTATTTGAGCCATTTTTGTATCAGTGATGGTTGGAAATGTTTTGTGGCTCAAGACCTACAGACAGTGTCAGGAACCTGGAACATTTTGACAAATGCCATTAACACATTATTGGTTTAAGTTTTGGGGTTTATAAGTTGTAACTGAAATATAGCAGAACAAATGTTTCACTTATAAAATATTCATTATAGCTTGGGTTTGTTAATTTATCCTGTGAAAGTGTTTTAGGTTTTTTTCCGTAAAAATGTATACATTTCTTTTATTTAATTCATGCTAAAAGCAGTCTTGGCAATGCAAATGACCAAAATCATATACAGATTAATTATAGGGGTTTAATAGATGGGTCCTGGTTGGCTGTAACATTAGTGATTAGGGCTGATTAATTGATGGGATTTATGTCCCGTTAGCGTCGGGGGACTTTCTAATTGGCCAAACAGGGCTGCTGACCCCCACACATTAACTCAGACTACATCTTTGCCCACATAAGGAGGCAGCATCTGTCTCACTCAGGCCTTTTATTATGAGATAGATGTAGCATGCTGCGTACAGCTGTGGCTTTCAGCTACTGTGGCTGTTTGCAATGTCTGACAAAGACCCCCTTTTCATGATTTAAGAGTGAAATGAAATGGTGAATGTATTGTCTGGTAACCCAGGCAGTATCTGAGGAAAATCTAAAAGGACGTCAGTCTTCATTTGTATTCAGTCTTTTGTTTCTCTTCTTTTCTGCTTTTTCTGCTCTTTTAATATGTTTGCAAAGCATTTCCATTGATACACATAAAAAGCATGTGAGTTTATTTTTTACATGATTAAACTCATGATTGTTTCTTCTACTGATTTTGATCTGTATATATGTGTGTTGAGGAGACCTTTAGGCCTACAGAAATTTTATGATTTACATGCTGCAGAGAAGAGATCTTTGTTGCTAGGCAGCAGGCGAGGTGGCTCTCTGTTACCTCATTCATTTTTGTGAAGTTTGTTTGTTATTTTTAAAGAATCCTGGCCGAATGTCTGACCTCCAAGTGTCTGTAAAGGATCCTGCGGTCCTCTGGTTTGTTGCCATGCAGCAGTGTGACAGCTCATTGTCCTCTAAATTGCCCCATGCCTCCACTCTGACCTTTTACTCCTATCTGTGCTCTTCTCATTACCTCATCGATCTCCCCACCCACACATGCCTTTACTGCAATGTCCCTCCTTGTTTATGTATTTCATGCTTGTTTCTCCTCACATCTGTTTTGCCTTGTTTACATATCCCTGGCTTTTTACCTCTCACCCCTCCAAACTCATCTTATAGGTGTTCCTGTCAACAGTCGTGTCTCCAACAAAATCCAGCAGCTGCTAAATACATTAAAGAGACCAAAGCGTCCACCATTGCGTGAGTTCTTTGTTGACGACTTCGAGGAGCTTTTAGATGGTAAGATGACCTGAAAGTAATTATTTCCAGTACTAACCAACTGATATTGGAAAAAGTAGCATTTCCAGCTTATTAATTTGGCTCTTCAGTGACAATTAAGATTTATTTCTATCATATTTCCCTGAAATTTTAATCCCCAAACTCCTAAACCCCTGGACTGTTGGTTCTATGATTCAGAACCATTTATTATAAGAGGCTCACTCCTATACTGACAGAAATATGTTGAAATACTGGAAAAGAAAGCAAGGACCAATGATCACAAAATACAGTTAAAAGTTACCAAACGATGAAATGTTTGAAACTAAAACTTCAAAATTGGTACAAAGAATAATATCATTGTACAGTACAGTATTTAATTTGTTTTTTGTTTACTCTGTCACATATTCTATTATTTTTATACAATTTTTAAGGTCCACATTTGTGTGGCCACTTTTGCTTTAATCTTTTGCTGCAATTTCCCCATTGTGGGACAATAAAGGTATTTTCTATTCTATTTTATTCTATCCAAGAAGACGAAAATAGTGGGAGGAAAGTTTCCATATTAAATGGATGTGAAGGTTTCAGAGTTTTCAGGATTAGGCACCAAAGTTGCTTTGGAGCAGTAGCTTAGATAACTAACAAATCTCCCCTTAATGAGTCATTTAAAAACACTGCTGTAACTGATGCAGTAGCACTCTTCATATAAATACTGTAAAACAAGCAGACTGCAGCTGCCATCAGATTAAGGAACACACTTTTCCTGATGTGGTTCAGATAGTAAAACAAGCTGTTGAAGCTGAAACTAATTTACATGGAAAAACATACAGGATGATTGTTTGGGGATAAAGAGCATAGATTTAACACACAACAGACATCAGAAGATATTTAATAATGACTACAGGACTCAAAAGGAAGAAAAATAATTTGTTCACAAAAAGCTCCTTGCGGTCTGGCTGCTTGATCCCTGCTCAGGTTACATATATCTCCTAATAGTGGCATGAACCATCTTGTGTGCCCCTCCCTCAGGTTTATGTCAATTCTTTCCTTATTTACAAGATGCTAGTTGTATGAGATTCCCCCGAAATCAAGGTTTCTAACAGACTGTTTCTGTTGGCAGAGGATAAATCCTTCCTCTCCATCTGCTTCCTTCCATACAGCCCTTATCTTTTTGGAACAAAAGTGCTCGATCCATTCTTTTTTCTGTTGCCAATCAGCAACCATGCATCCATTGGACATATTGCTGTTTAAAGGTATTTTGGGGCTAGTAAAGAATTTGTTTTCTAATGTTCCAGACAGACCCAATCCAGACCTGCTGCTGGCTTTCTGTCTCAGTGTCTGTAATGAAAATACTTCCTTTGTATAGATATATTCTGTTAAAAACAGGGAAAGGACTGATAATGATTTATTTGTGCTTACTTATAAAGTCTTAGTTTGTTTTTCAGTCTTTATATATATGTAGGGTATGATGAAAATATTATGCTAAGAATATTTAACCAATCAGAAGAGGTTACCACTTTCTATCCACAAAGCTACACCCAGGCTGGAGGTTTCAGGGTAACATTAAAAGACCTACCGCTTACAAACGACAGTTTCTGAGGTAAATTTCTACCCCAGCTCTGCTTTTTAACCTTTTAGATGCAGAAGATAGGGGATCAAAAAATGTATCCATGATTCTAGAAAAGGTTTTTCTGTAGAAGAGTTAGAGGACGCCCTTTTGATTAGTCTTTAGATTGTATTTGAAGCCAGGAACCATCCACACCATAAGGCAAAAAATGAGTGACCACAGTTGACCAGCCCTGTCCAACTATTTCCTCCATTCCAGCCTGGTGTGGCATGCTTTGGGTGGTCCACCTAGAATAAACGTTGGAGAGAATAAAAATCCAGCAGGAGCAGAAACTCACCAGCAGGTATTTGTAAAGCCTTGCTGGTTCTGGCTCAAAGGCTGTGGTGGTCTGTCTGCTCTGAGCAGAGAAACACGCTGAGAGGTGAAACAGCTGCATACCCAACATACTTTGTTTCTAACAGTTTTATTTGGAAAGAATCTAACCTTCAAGCTCCATTAAAAAGCTCTCAGTTTTACTAGCCAGCAAAATCGAATTAAACAGGTTTTATGATTTTTCATTAAGCAGTTTTTCAGTGAAAAAGCTTAGAGAAAAGATGGTCATAAAACCGTCTCATCCTCCATTCCCTTCCCATATTGTATTTCAATCCCACCTGCTTTAATGTCACTTTCTCTTTCTAAGGTGGTTGTATTCCATAACAGCTCAGGGACTGGTTCTGCTCGGATACTTGGAACACCCACTGATGCATCATCTCAGAAAGATGCTCTTCTCTTTGTTTTTAGTCCAGCAGCCAGATCCCAACCAGCCCAGGCCAGAAGGCCAGCAGATGAGCCCCCTAGAAGGAGAGCCACTCGGGGTGGTCACCAACTGGCCTCCTTCATTGCCAGCAGCCCTGCAAAGGTGGGGAACCACTCATCCAAAGAGCCCCTGTCTGACAGCACTAGACAACGCTGGCAAGCCTGTCTACACACTCACCTACGGTAGGTGTGATCCTATGCAGAGTGAGCCCTGCAGCATAACGCTGCATCAGCTCTTCTTATAAAACCCATGCTTGGGTTGCATTTGATGGTGTGCATTAATCTCTACAGGTAAACTGTGGACCCGCAGTCAGAAGCTGGCCTACACTTTGCTTAACAAGCTGAGCAGCAGAAATGAGCCTTTGCTAATTCCTGGAGACAGAGTAAGTTATGAGATTTAAATGTATACAATTTTTTTTTTTACATGTGAAGATATTTATCCAATCACATCTACTTGAAATAACCAATGTATCAGACGAGCCTTAAAATGTCACAACTAATCTTTTCAGATTGGGGATTATTTAAACAGTTCAGCATCTATAAAAGTCCAAGCTGAGAGTGTTGCATACACCCCAGGAAAGATAACATTTCTGGGGTTTCAGCAGAAATAGGTGCCAAACCTCAAATAAACAGTGGTTTGGTTTTTCTCCCGTTTCCAATCTTAGTGTTTAACTATGCATATCAGCTGCCAACTGTAGCCTAATATTTAATATAGGTTTATGTTCGCTATTTCTTAGGGAGATCTGTTGATTACAGATAAAATGTCTGGAATGTACAATCCCTGGCAAAAATATTCACACCTCTTTAAGGTTCTCACTCTTTAGCATATAATAAACAGACCTCAGAGTGCTGATTAGGGTTTTATGTGACAGGCCAAGGTTTACCTGTTTGGGGAATTTTAAAATCAAATCTGATGAGTGTGGTCTGCATTTAGTTCATCCCATTCTACTTAATTACCCCTAAATAAAATCCAGTACAATCTACTTGTTTTGGAAGCCACCTACTCTACTTACATGTTAATACAGTGGATTGGAGCCCTTGAACAAACAGCATGATGATGAAAGGTCAAATAATTCATTGTGTTTAAAGTGGGTTTAGATTATTAAAGAAAATATCAACCTCAGAATGTTTCTAAAGGGTCTCCTCAGTCCATCACCCGTAAGTAGAAATTGTTTGGAACAACTGCAAACCTACCGGATAAGGAGAGCATTAATGAGAGAAGCAGCCAAGGATGCTGCAGAGATTCAAAGCTAAGATGGGAGTCTTTAAAAAAAAAAAAGAGGCAAAAAAAAAAAGGTCCTTGTTGAAACAGAAAAATAAGGTGCCATGCTTCTTTGCAGAAGCACAGCATAAATATAACTTTTTGGCTGCTATCAACATGCTAAATGTGCTGGAAAACCTTTTGTTGAAAACTCCATCCCTGTGCATAACAATGGCAGTAAGCTGACCGATGTTCAAAACTGATGATAGGATGGATGGAGCTAAATGTAAACAATCATGAAGAACTGAAGCCCTAAAGTTGTAGCCTGAGTTAAATGGAAATGGTTATATTAAACCTATTTGTTTGTAAGAATGGTCTAGTCAAAGTCCAGAAGAAATCCTATTTGAAATCGGAGCTAATATAAGTTTTTCACAGTTTTTTTGCATCTACACTAACTTGGCTTGAGATTATCCTCAAAGAGGAATGGAAGGAAATTTCAGCTTCTTGATTTGTAAGGCTGTAGCTCTAATTTGCAAGAAATAATTTATAAACAAGGGATGAAAAGAAATGCATTGTAGATTATTTAAGTAATAAACAAATACAAATCAAATTCTAAAAAATGCATTGAGGTAAAGGCGTTAATGTGAAAGAACTTGTGTGTGATACTGATAATCCATTTTAGATTCAATCCCTAACCCTCCCATGTTTGACTCCTCCTTAGGTCGCCCTGGTGTTCCCCAACAGCGACCCGGTGATGTTCATGGTGGCCTTCTACGGCTGTCTCCTGGCAGAGCTGGTGCCGGTGCCCATTGAAGTGCCGCTGACCAGAAAGGTGAAGCCGAATACAAACAAATCCTTCTGTCTTTGTGTTTGGAGTTTTTCCTGCCTGTCTTTACAAATCAATACTGACCCCTGCTGGACACAAAGGGGCTTGACTGCTTAGTGCCCAGCTGTTAGTGTATTTCACAGGAGTCATCTCTGTTTTATTAGATTATGAAATAAAGATGATCATGTAGTTTATAGTTATCCATCATTATCTCACTGCAGAGCTGTGACTGACATATTTGCTTACAGATTGCTGTAATGCGTTGCCAGTGCAGCAGACTCATCAGCAGACACCTTACTAAATTCCTCCACATTAGTTACGCTGCCTGAATAATAATTGGTGTTCTTGATTGTCTTTATAAGCTAGCTGTTGGCGTTGGTGTGCTGTGATCAATAAAAGATGCATGGGGTGAAGAGATGAGTAATTATATTCCAAATATTAGATGGTGATCCAACCGTTCTCAGGAGTCAGAAACTTATTGGATCATCTTGGCAGCACCGATCACTCTTCCTCCTCTCTTTCTTCCTCTGTCATCTTTATTTCCATTATTATCCTCCATCTCTATATTTCAACCGTGTCCCGTTTCTTCCCTTCTCTGTCTCCCACTCCTTGAGCTCTGTAGTTTTCTCCCTAATGAGTCTTGCTCTAAGATCATTTGCAGAGCCAATTTAATAAGAGGGAGTGAACGTCAAATCATGGGCTTCTGTTTTGACACAATCTGCATTTGATGCACAGCAGTAGAGTTTTTTCTTATTGTGACCGGCTGTCAGTCTTCCTGCACACCTTCTGCTGTTTTTGTGTTTTTTTGTTTGTCTTGTTTTGCCATAGAATATCTGCAAACTTCAACCTGTTTCTGGGTTTTATTTGTTTGACGCAAAGGCTTCATATATATAGCCTGTCCAAATCGATTCTGTGGACCTAAGAACATGTTTCTGTGCAATTAGAGCTGCAGGTCCTGTGGGGTATGTCTGCACCAGCTTTGCACATCCAGGGACTGAAAGTTTTTCTTCATTCTTCTCTACAAAGTAGAACATTTCGTAATGTTCAGAGTTGTCGTGCTGGAAAACTAACCTCCAACTTTATCTCAAGTCATTTGCAACATCCAACAGATTTTCTCCCAGAATGCTTTGATGAAATCCTTGTGTTAAAATGCATCTTCCAAAGACTTTCTTACAACATGAGTTTTATCTTGTCACTCTTCCATAATGTTACATTACTAAGTTGCAAACCAATATTTTTAGCTCTTGACAGATTCTCCCACCTGAGCTGCATAACTCTACATCTCCTCCACAGTTACAGCTACGCTTTTGGCTGATTTTCTGAGGGATTAGCACTAATGCACATCACTCTCTGCATTATTTGTATTGTTTTATTATTCTCAGATTTAAAAGTTCTGTACTGTAGTTTGTGTTGGTCTGTTACATAAAATCCAAATAGACTACATTCATGTTTTAATAGAAAAACATGTGTAAAATAGTTGCATTTTATCAAAGTGTTGTGCTGTACTGAGTTTATTTATAGCTGATTGTGATATAAAAAGGTTTTCTGTCAGATATCAACTCTCTTTTTGCATCCCAGGATGCAGGCAGTCAGCAGATCGGCTTTCTTTTAGGAAGCTGTGGGGTCACGTTGGCGCTGACCACTGATGCTTGTCAGAAAGGCCTGCCCAAAGCACAAACAGGGGAGGTCGCAACTTTTAAAGGTACAACTGGGTGTTTTGTTTGTCTCTCTGTTAACTCTGCAACTGTTCCTTCATGCTGCTAAGAAAGATTTTTGGGTCTCCGTCTTTGTAGGCTGGCCACGTCTGCTTTGGTTTGTAACAGATGGGAAACATGTAGTGAAGCCTCCAAAAGACTGGCACCCGCCAATACGGGAAGCCAGCAATGATATCGCTTATATAGAAGTAAGTGCAAGTTAAAATAATGGAGAGCAATTGCAATATTACTGTTGATTTTAAATGTCTTATTGTACTTTTTCTTTGTGTGGTTTTACAAGATAATGCAACAAGTTGAATTTCTAAATGCTTTGTTGTTTTTATCTAAACCCAGTATAAAACCAGCAAAGAGGGAAGCACCATGGGAATTACCGTGTCCAATTCAGCCATGCTGGCTCACTGTCAGGCCGTCACACAGGCCTGTGGCTACACAGAAGGTGGGGAGGACTCCGCTTACAAGAGGCTGCTTTTCTCATTTATTTATTACTGGAACATGGATATTTTAGAGAGAAAAAGGAGTCAGGATGCATACCATGAAACGAGCTCCTGTGATCCGATTACGATGAAGAAAAATATTGTGATGAAATTAAATTGCTCCTCTCAGGCATTGCTGTAAGAAAACGTATAACTTTGACTGCTCTAATACGGTATATATATATATATATATATATATATATATATATATATGTATATATATATTTGGTATCAGGAAGCTTCTCCTTTTGCATACAGCAGTTCACATACATCCTGTGGTGTAATTAGAATTTGATTCATGCCCCTTTCAGCTTGTTTTGTTTCAGTCTTTCAGACCTGCGTCAGGATAAAGAACGAGAACATAAAATATTTTTCTTCGAGTGTCCCAGTTATGCTCTAAATAACTCTGCACTATTAGCCTGGAGTCACACCCCAGAATTCTTCCTGAAAGTTAATTACCTGCTCGTTCAGCTCTCTTCTGCTTTAGTAGCTCTTTATTGCAGAACGTTTTGTTTGTGACTTCAAGTGAAATGGATTGACCTGTTCTGATCTTTGTGCTATGCAGGTGAGACCATTACCAATGTTCTGGACTTTAAGCGAGAAGCAGGATTGTGGCATGGTGTCCTCATGGTAAGGTGTTTTCCAATACCATACATAGACAGAAGCCTGCAAGTTAGATAGAACGTAATCAAAAATTACACAAATTTACACACCTTACAGTGTATCGATCCATTAGTACTCCAGGTGTCTATTTCTGGTGAAATAATTGCAGCTAATGAAACAAACAAACTTATTTCTCCAAGAAAGTTAAATATTCTATTAGACAAATAGATCAATGTTCCTTGTTTATGGTATATCCCCATGCAGCTCATTGAGGAGGCTCCTTTCTTTACAGCCAAATTTTAAAACTTACTTTTATTCGCTAGCTTTTAACACTGGCAGGACTTAGTTGTTGTGACCTTGATTATATAGCTTAAACAAATTGTTAATATTGCCTTATTTTATATTCTTCTGCTGTATTTTATTCTTTTATTGTGTTTATTTGTTTTCAGCTGTAGCTGTTTTTAAGTGCTCTATAATTAAAGATGATAATCATGATGAAATTAGGAAATAGTTCATTCAGAAGTGTTCTATAATGACCCACTGCAGACTGGATACTTGTCCAGCAGACATTTATTGTGAATCTCCACAAGGAGGATAGGTCAAAAATGTTTTAAAAAACATGTGCTAGTAACAGATAGCTGCATCCTTGGGGTGACTGTGAAGAAAGGTCATTTTTAAGCATTCAAGGAGGATTCCCAAAATGTTCACTGCAGCTGGAGTCACTGCTTCAAAAGCAATAACACACAGAGAAAATGGTAATGTTAAATAGCTTGTGCTGAAACAGATCTAACCTGGGTTAAGGATAAAATGGGTTAAACAGATATTAGGGGGGTCCAAAGTCCTCTTTTCAGTTAAGAATATTATTTTGGATTTCTTTTTTTTTTTTTTTTTTTGCAAATCCACAGTTTCAAACAGAATTGGAGAAAAAGAATAATGTAATTAGATTCAAGTCCAAATTTTCCTAACTGGTGGTCCACAGGGCTTTCTGAATCCAAAGCCAGAGCAATTGTCCAGTCGGACTTACTCACAATGCTACAGTAAGTATATAAAAGCCCTGTCAATAGCCTAGTTTTTTTGGTGCTTAATTAAAAATAAATAAAACTCTATGGGGTATTGGCAAGAGGAAGAAGAAAGACACCAGATTTATGCTGCAGATGACCGATTATCTAAGGAACCTGGGCTTCCATTCCCTCCATGCCGCATTGATGAAGCACTTACTGAAAAACCAGCCCTGACCCAACATCTACTGTACGGAGTCATATCTCTATTGAAAACCATTTATTAGTTTGTCTTACGTCATTTTGTGTTTTTGAGGAACTCATTATTTTCTTTAGCTTCTTTGTAATATGTTTTACTTTTTGTTATGTTATTACTAAATAATATTTGAATACACCTGTATTTAAAATATATATATTTGTTCAAACATTAATTAATTTTTATTTTTATAGTTAACCTGACCACTTAGAAGTAATATAAAGCCTTTATAGAAGACAACAGTGATAGAAGAACCTTAAATATGTGCTAATACTATTTGGAAAATAAATGTCACTAAGAACTCTCGTCTAAAATTAAAAAAGAAATGCCATATGAGCTGAACAGGGTTTCATGACATAAGTAGGAGAACCAGCTACAAAGGCCCTGCAGAGGATAGTGAGAGGAACTGAGGTTAGAATGCACATATCCTCAGTCATAGATCTATTTCAGAGCTGCTGTAAGAACAAACTAAAACTGTACAAGAAAAGAAGATTCATCCAATTTTTACACAACTTTCTGCTTTAATTTTTTAAAATACCATACTTTTTAATTTATATATTACTTCTATCAATTTAATAACTTAATTTTAGTGATTGTTTACAGTAAGGGGCATGGTCTAATGTTCTTTTACATATAAAAGCTGTAATTTGAACAATCGTCTTTATATTCAAATGTCACAGACTTTAGAAGTAATTTTAAAGGCCAGTCCCTGCTTCAATGTATAGTTAAACTTAAGCAATTAGATATTAAGCATAAGGGTTGATGTTCTGGTATTGCTGATGATGTGATATGTCCACCTGACTGCCTGTAAGAACTTTATCAGCATGCAAACAAGTCAGACTAATAGTCCTGATGAGGAAAACCATCTGATCTCATAAAAACGCTGCTTCCTTTAACACGCTGGCTCGGCTTGATTGGTTTCAAACATCAAGAGCGTCCAACACTCTATTTATATTCTACTTGTTATGACCTGTTTTGACTCCTTCAGTGAAGCAGCACAGCTATCATACATAACTATGCTGCTCTGAGTGATAACATCTTGTTTACAGTGACATCGTGTTCAGTCATTTTGATGCAGCGGGTACATGTGTTGTGGCTTATCTGATGTCTCTCTGCTTTCCTGGCAGAGCGTCATGAATCGGATGCATGTCATCAGCATTCCCTACTCCTTGATGAAAGTCAACCCCCTGTCCTGGATACAGAAAGTTCACATGTACAAAGGTGAGCGAGTTATCACATTGTTTTACTTAGTAAAATAAACTGCTACTCATGTTTACTTCTATACCTAAAGCTTATTATAGTGTTTGAATTTTATTTAACTCATTGATTGAGTTGAATAAAATTCCCATTTATGTGCTTTGACCTTTTCTGGGTTCGCTTTTCTGGGTTGGCTGTCAGGTGAGATGAAAAAGGGGCTTTTATCAGTGATTCTCTTTGTCTTTCCATCACCTTTGCAGCGAGGGTAGCTGTGGTGAAGTCCAGGGACATGCACTGGTCTCTGCTGGCCCAGAGAGACCAGAGAGACATCAGTCTGAGCTCTCTTCGGATGCTGATCGTGGCCGATGGTGCTAACCCATGTGAGCACACTTGCTACAAGACATTAATGTGTTCCAGCTCGGTTTTTTATCTAATGCATCAGACTGAGTGTGTGTGTGTTACTGTAGGGTCGATATCGTCCTGCGACGCCTTCCTAAACGTGTTTCAGGCACGTGGGCTCCGACCTGAGGTGATCTGTCCATGTGCCAGCTCCTCAGAGGCAATGACTGTCGCCATCCGCAGGTGAATTTATGCTACTACACTTCATCTTTAAAGGATGTTACATCTTTGAATTGAGCTCTGTTTGTAACTTCAGCTGCATTCTGCTGGAAAAAACTAAACATTAATGTGTCTCAGTAAATTACCAGAAATGACTCACAGCTTTCTGTTAATTACGGACAAACAGAGACAGACTTAACAAACAAGCTTCAAACAGTGAAGCTAGAATTGTTTTTACAATGGAAATCCTATTTTAATTATATTTGACAGTCTAGACCCAGCTTTAGAGATTCATATATTCTCACATTTTTACAAGCTTGTCAAATATATGTGGGTTTTGTGTGTATTAAACAAGTACAGTGCCTTGGAAAAGGTATTTATATCCTATGAACTTTTATGCCACATGACAACCACAAACCTCTCTGTGTTTTACTGGGAATTTATTAGACAAAGTGGGAAAAAAGTGAATGTTGCATTTAAGTTTTTTTTATTTTACAATTAAATATCTGTGCATAGTTATTTAGCTCAATCCCAGAAAGAAATCCTTTGCAATGATTTGCCTTCAGAAGAGACCCAATATAAAGAACACTGATCCTAACCAGTCAGTGCCTTTTAAGGACTTTTACAACAGTTACAGCTGCAAGTCTTTTGGTCATAATCTTGTTTTCTGGATCAAAGTGCAGAAAGGCAGACATACTCCCACTATTTCACAGACCTGTCTTAATGTTGTGCAGCAAACCTTAAATGAGCTACAACATGCTTATTCTTAAGCGATCGAGTCTTGCATGGCAAGTACTGCAGTACTTTTCTTTTCTTGAAAACAACTGCACCTGCTAATTCCAGGTCTTTCTGTAGCTCTCCACAACTGATATTATGCTCTTAGAAAACTCTTCTTGGGATGTTTTTTGTGTGATACCATAGACACCTTTTTATAAGCGATAATTTGGGACCGAACCATCTCATATTGATTTGCAAGGACAAGAGGCAGGATTGCTTTGTAGTTACTGAGATATATTGGTTGATGTCTTAGCTTTTCATTGCAACTTGAACCTCCCTTTCTTTATGTGTTCAATACTTTTTCCCTGGGACATTCCACATTATTACACATAACGTAATTTCTGGACATCTGTGGTTTCTTTGCATGTGTGGAATGCATGGATTTGTACCAACATCTGGTGAAAATGTCATGACAATAGCACCTCTACAAATAAATAAAAAATAAATATCTATATATATATATATATATATATATATATATATATATATATATATATATATATAT